GGGCGGGGGGGGGGGGAGCCGCTGCGGGGCTTCGCATGGAGGTAGGGGAGGCTCAGGAGGATGTACTTGAGGACACTCTGCGACGCGCCGCCATTCCTCACGCGCTCCGTCGTGTGGTAGGCATCCTCCATCTTCCACCTGGCGAACGATGATTGGCTGACGCACGCCAACGAGGAGAACAAGTCGGACCGCTGGGCCTGTAGAACGGCGGACACCGTCAGGGAATAGTTGCTGTCCTCATCCTCCCTAGTCGTCTCCAATTCTGGCGCCATTACACAATAAGTAAACAGTGAAATGAAATGAGATGATTCTTTTTTTTTCCTAAATAAGCAAAGGTATGAAATGGGTAGTATGTTTAAATTAAACGAATTAAAAAGAGAAGAGAATGAATTTTCATGTCTAGCATATAATAAGTAAAGGTAACAAGTATACCTATCGGATGGGGCTGAAGAGGAGTGCTGTTAAGGTGGTCAGGCCATGGCTCTACTGCATTGACGGCGGTAGTTGGGGAACAACTGACGGCCAACATATGGAAATCAGAGTCGAGATTGTTAGAGACTTCTTCTGGAGATCCAAACTGTAAATCCTCCGTCGACATCGTATCTACTTGCATCAGTTTACTCGGCTCATCATTATCTTCGTCTTCATCTTCATCTTCATCCACCTCTTCCTCTTCTTCATCTTCATCATCCTCATCCTCATCCACCTCTCCCTCTTCCTCCCTCTTACCAGCCGCATCATCGACGAAGGGCTCCGAGTAGGAGATGGTGGGTGGGAGAGAGGATGGGTTGGAGGTGGAGTGCTCTGAAAGTGCCGGCTTCGACGCCGGAGGAGGAGGTTGGTCGTTAAAGAAGCTCTTTATGTGATAGATAAACCCTAGGTCCTCCTCAACCTTTGTCATCAATAAACATGCCTTATAGCATATGTATCTTCTTGAGCTAACAAAAAAATAACTTTTCTGAAGCAATAAATCCGTAAATGGCTCATGCATGCATGCAGCAAATATGAGTCGTACCTTGTCCGTTGTGCCCAGCTCCACCACGCCATCAAGGAGGGGAATGCAAACCACCGTCTGCATTGTTATTGTTATTGTTTATTTCCATAAAGCAAACGTGCATTGTTCCTCAACCCCCCACGTCACAGTAACCAAAATAAACTATAGAACGAGTTACCTGAATCTTCGCACTCTGACATATCCAGCCGTTACCGTTGGGGGAGAAAGGAATACGTTGAAGATGAGTTGTGAGATGATAAAATAATAAAGATCTATCAAGGTCCTCGATCGTACACAATTGATCCGTATGTCATATGTACATTTGGATTGATGTAAGTGATGAAGTACCTTGGCGAGGATAGACCTGGAGAAGGTCTTACAGTCAACCTCATTCGCACCGCTCAGCCATACGTGCTGCTTCCTTGCGTATGCCTTTCCCGGCAGCCTTATTTCATACACGCACGCATTTATCAACCCATCTAGCCAGACAGTTTTTTATAATATTATAATACAGATCTTTAGGCCATAAATTAATGCTGATCATAAACGTCCCCATAAACCTTTTCCTCGCTCCTAAAAATGAATAAAAACCAAAAACTATAGTTTTGTTGATTATTGTAACCAAGATATACATGATTAATGGGATTGGATCCATATATATATATATATAATGTGGGTGTGTACTTATATATACATGCATGGATATTACAGTACAGCTATCTAGGAAAGGAGAGAGCGTGTGGAGTCATTAAATTGGAGAGGAGTAAGAGGGGGATGTGGTTCGTGGTTCGTGAGGATGAACAAATGAATCTCAACGGCCACCGAAGCAGTTTAATACATTGTGTCCGAATCCCTTCTTCTTCTAGTAACTCTACTGTTCACTTCCTACGTTTCTCTGTTCCATGTCTCCCCCAGTTTCTGTTTCGCATTAACTATGCATCCTTAATTACATGAACTATTGCATGGCCCTTCTCTCTCTCTCTCTTTTTTACCGTTTTTAACCGCAGGAGAATGCGCATCGGTTCACATAAACGAGAAAACGACAGACACGTAAAAAAAAACACACACAAGAAGAGAGAGAGAGAGAGAGACGCACCCAGAAGGAGGAGGGAAGGAGAAGGAGGCGCACATGAGATAGAACCACTCGGACTCGGTGAGGTCCTCAGGGGAGAGAGCGGTGGAAGGCCTCTTGGTGTCCTCGGCGGCGAGGAGAGAGTGGTAGAGTTCCCTCAGCTGGTGGCTCCTCTGCCCAGCCGCCTCCTCCGCCGTCTCCTCCGCCGGCTGCACCGTCTTCCTCGTCTTTATCGCCCCGTTGTAGTACCCTTCCCCCCACACCAGCCCCCTTTTTCATTCGTTATTATTAATTACATATTATCACGTGACTTTCTTTTTTTTTCAAAATATTTTGAAAAGCTCAAGTTTCGGAAACCTTTAGTCTGAATCTAACCGTCAATGAATTATAGGCTCAAACACAACGCCTACGTACACTTCTTCCTTTCCTCGGATTAATGCATCGTTATTCGTTTGAACACCAGATAATCCATAACACGTGAAAAACATTTTATGCAAATCTATACCCTAAAACTATATATATGCCTTGACCGAAAAAAATAACAGATGTTGTCCGCATGTGGGTATTATAACAAACGTGTTTAAAAATATAATTAATTAAAAGAAATAATGAGAAAGGAGTACCGCTGTTGAGGGCAGAATTGCCAGAAGAGACTGTAAGTCCAACGGACGGATTGCACCGCCGCCTGAAGCATTTCCTGAAGGCATCTGCTCCCCATCCCCGGCCCTGATCTCTCTCGATGTATGAAACTTACTCTTTGTTTTCTTTCTCGCAGAGAGAGAGAGAGAGAGAGAGGGAGGGGCTTTGGGATGTCTGAGAAATCTTGAAGGGTAGTTAGTGAAATGGAAGAGCAACAGGTTTCGTGTGGATAGGGATCCTATAAAAGAATCTCTATTACCACATAATTAGTATTTTATATATATATATATATATTCGGAGTTCGTACGTAGCGCGTGTCTATCACGTTATTTCATTTTATTACATTATTGACATTTGTTGTATGCTTGACAATTTTGGTTTTCCATTTCTGTTTTCGGCAGCTCGTTATGACACTTTTTCAATGGATACAACAAATACGCATACGAGCACTTGTCGGCAATCGGCATCGAACGGTACGTGTTTGCTGACACAAGTATTTATACGTGCTGACATAAGTAATTTTCACAGGAATTGAACATTCGCTTTTATATTATTAACATTATTTTCAAATCAGTTTAAAAAAAAAACTATAAAAATGTTGTTCCCAAAGGGAAGGAGTAAAACGGGTGGTTTCTGACTGGTTGGTCTACCAGACGGTGGATCCTGAACCTCTACCATGTGGGTACGAGTACCGAGCGAGTGTACGACGGGACACGTGTCTCTCGTTCACTGGATAAAACAAACTAAGCTTGTAGAGTTTGGTTTGGATGTAATAAAGAATAGATTCAGAAATGAGAGAAAGGGAAAATGGTCCTTATGTGAACAGTGAGCAGATGATACTTGACGGTGGAGTAACCTCTCTGTGATTTTGGGAATATTATATATCAACCGTTTCAAATTTTAAACAAAAATTCTCTTTAATCAACCACCGCTGTGGCTAAACTTCGATGATGTATTATTTAAAAAAAATATATATATAAATTATCAGAGGAATGCGCATATTATATGGAATTTGTAAGGAGATGCCGTTAATAATGATGCGGTAAATTATAAAGAGCAGAAGAAGGCGGAGGCGAGTGAGAATGTCATTTTCTCTTATTTAATTAATGACGTTACATCTTTGAACTACTTGCCATACTGTTAATGCACAATGTACCCCCCCGATTTATTAATGCGCAAATTTCCACCTTTTGAACCGATCGACGTCGTTTTCCGTTTCATATTTTTTTATAATTCAATAACACACACACACATATATATATATATATATATATAAAAGGAAATAAAAAAAATGTACATCATGAAGATGACCGTTCCTGTGATTGGACCAAATCAACATTAATGTTTGCGTTGCTCCAAGGGGACAGTGGGAAGGGGGGGCCCGGAGACAGTGCAGCAAGGCCCTTCTCTTTCAAAAGTTTTTGTTTCTATCAGCACACGCACGTACCGAGGCCTAAATGTCGAGGAAGCCACGCCATGATGAAATTGCAACAATATCATATAATTTCCTTCACAAACCACCCTTAACTACAGATCAAAATTTATCAATGAACCAAAATTCCATGGAAAACCGGTCAATTCACCGTTGGTTTATCCACCTATACCATATTATTAACATGTAACTCATCTCATATTTCCCTATTGTTTCTGTTCATTTCATCTCTCAGAGAACAAAGTAGCAGAAAGTGAGAAAAGCTGTAATGGCAGACAGTATGAAGATCCGATCAAGCACATTGTCGCTCCTCATCTTCTCCTCCCTCAGCTCTCTCTGCGCCCTCGTGAACATATGCCGCAACTCCAAGGCTTCGCTGTAGTTCCTGCTCCTACGACATCTCAGTGCCTCTGCTAGAATCCACATGCTATTCCTCCCGTTCACGTGGGAGCCTTCCATGTCCTCCAGTTCCATCCCTAGTTCGGTCAGTCCCAGCCTCGTCTGATTATACCCATCTTCCTCAGTCCGAACCACTCTGCACTTCATGGTCAGAACGCACTCAACTGCTCGGCACTGGGGTCTGGCAGGCAGAACTGACCCGAATCTGATTACAAAGTCCTTTTCCGTGGGCCAGTGCCTATGGCCACCAAGGGAGCTCCAGCTCGAGAGATTAACTGCTTTCTTGATCTTTCTGTTCACGATAATCCAGCTCAGACGCAGCCTGTCTCTAAGATCACGCCACAGTTTCCCATCTTTTCTCTCCTTCTCAAGGGATGAAACTGGTTGCAGACCATCTGAAACGGAAAGTGTGATGGCCTCTCCACCTTCAGTTTCTTCATCTCTGAGAAGATCGATTCGGAATGGACAGGAGTGGAACCAGGAATTGGATCCGTTCACATCCGGTATGCCCCATAGGACCTTTGACCAGATGATTCTGTCTCCAAACCTGATATCCACCAGGGAGATGAGATCAGCTGGCAAGAAACTCTCGTGGCCACCATCAGTCTGGCCATGATAATCATTGTTGACAATGAGGGGAAAGCAATCCGCATAGAATTTTCTGAATCCGCCAATGGATAAAATAAGGTTTGTGGCGTCTCTGCTGTCGGTCGACGGCCACATGGACTTGCATACATTCTCCCACAGCGTCTCCTCTCGGGAGAGGGAAGAGAGAGAAGAGCAAGTACATGCGGCACTGGCCAAGCTGGGTCCATCAAGACGTCTTAGTATGTCATATAAGATGTCGCTGCTTAAGTAAGCCATGGCGGCTATGCACACACCTGCCTGGCAGACAGGAAGCAGAAAACATATACGGTAGTCCATTTAGGCAAACACCTAACGATGTCTTCCTCCTCGGAAATGCAATTGCTCCAGAAAATGAATGCTAATTACTTGCAGAATATGATAGTGAATGAACATCATGCAAGGAGTGAAGGAAGTGTTTTATAGAACAATTCAGGACCCTATCAAATGAAGAGCCACGATGATACGGAAATGTCGAGATTGACACCAATCTCTAGCAAATTTAGAGCAGTAAGAGACATTAGAAGCTAACATTTCAAAATTGAAGAACAATACGACCTATAGTCATCTGCGATTGACCTAAAACCCCAATTTCTACCACTGGTCAAGGAAAAAGCCCTAGACATTCCATCCAAATTGACGATGTATGACATCATAACCCTAATACTCATAACGGAGATCATCAAACGAAGCTTGAAATCTGGGGAAATCGCCATCGAAGATATAAAAGAGAGAGCAGGAAAACGGATAAAACACGAGAACAAAGACCTTCGCGCACTCACCTCAAACTCGTGAATCTAATAGAACTTGGGAATGAGGGCAGACGCAGATGATGAAATCCAAAATCCGAAAAAAAAAATCAAAAAAATTTATTGGCAGGGGAAGAGGTCGACAGTT